GCAAGCTTTAGCATATGTCTTGCTGCTTGCAAATTTATGCAAATTTTACACTGAAATTACATTTTGCTCTCCGTTACCATAATTATATATTTCCTTCATAGTCTCTGATATATTTGCATTTTCCTTACATTCTCGGGCTTTTGGATTCATTTTACCCTTAGCTTTAAAGGTGTTGCGCGCTCATTTAAACAGAGTTTCAATTCATATCGTTTTGGCGGTTTAATGAAATTCTTAACTATCGAAAGCTTAGCACTAGAAACAATTTTAACACATTACGTTGGCTTTTTAGTAATAAAATTGAAATTCATTTGCATTTAACGAAAACATAGTGAACATATTTAAAGTAATTGTTGGCTTCCGTTGGGAGAAGTAGTTTTTTTTTTTTTTTTATTTTGTTATGAGAATATTGACATATTCTCTTTAAAATTTAATCAAGTAAATATTTTGTACATTACTTGTATAACTTGACGATACAATGTAACATCGAGTCCAAGACTTTAAGGACAACGGGACATAATTGTTAATGGTTCTCGTTATCGAGTAAGTAGCGAATATGTTGTAGTCGATAGCATATGAATTCTGTTCGGTAGCGAAGGTGAAACTTTATATTTGTAGGTCCTTTACGTTTCACCTCTTGAGTTGAGCTAACAACGTATGTATATATATACAACGAGCAATGACCTATCTCTCAGAAGGTATTTATTATTCTTCTAACACGTTGCGACCAGAAAGAAGTGAGGAGGATGTGCCCGCCTTTACCGACTGAGCAACCGCTAGGGCTACAAATAAGGTAAACTCTACCGCGTTTGAGATTTGGATGCGCGAACACTGTTTTGCTAGACGTAGCTTTTACCTACTCGGCTACTTATGCGGATAAATAACTACTTTGAACTTTATACTGTGAGGGAGAAAACTGCAACAGTGTTAGTGGATATGTATCTGATGATAATCTAATCTAAACATCTGACATCAACAGTGACTATCATAGGGAAAAATAAATTACAAGAGTCGTCGTTGTTCTTAGTTAATTGTTCCTTAGCCTGTTTATTTACAACATTACTTTAATATTTAATAATTACAAAAATTGCATTAATTTTCGAAAATCTGTGAATAGCTTTCAATAAAGTTGTAATTGTATACACAATTTAATTATAATTGCCGTGTAATACACTTTAGAAAAGCAATAAATTAATGAAATTAGCACAAATAAGGTGTGACACGGTAATTAACAAATACACGATAAATAATATCCGCTGTTCGTGAAATGCGATAAGCGCAGACTTATCGGAACACGTAAAAAAACTTAAGTATCCAATCAGTCCGTGATTTCCAATTAGATAAGTGCTAATCAATCGGCTTGATGCGCTGCACTTAACATACTGTGCATTGTATATTATTTATGCACGTACGTATCAATTTTCAACTTGTTTTGCGAAATTTCAGTTATACGGCTATTAACGGCTTATATAAGGCTTCTTCTTCAAATCAGGGTATAGATCTGCACAGGGGCAAAAGATAAACCTCTCCAGCCGATGAATATTAAGCAAAAAAAAAATGTTTGGCTATTCCTCGATAGATCACTTTACAGTACTGTAACTTTGCCCACTGATCTTATCAAGCCATACTGTAGCGCGTAAGGAACGTGATGTAAATTTTTTAACAAGGTCAGTTGGAAAACGGCTTACTCGTTTCCGCATTGAACATGTCAATGTTAAAGACGTACCGCACTCTGATCGATCAATCGTGGTTAATGTTGATCAAATTCTTGTTTTATCACTGGCAAAATACATATTTATTTTCTTTCATTAATTTGGAAAATAAAAAGAAAACGAACGCTTCTTCAAAAATATTAAATTTATTAGCTTCTATCGAAAAGCAAGATGATATTGACTAGGGCTTGGCTGGGAATGTCTGGCGCGTCCATCCAATTATCATTTGTTGCGCTATTTGTGGAAATGTTTTAATGGTTGGCTTCAGAAGAAATCTGTTAAAATAACGCGCGTATCGGTTTTTCAACCAGAAATCTCGGACGTTCTACAATAACGGCATGTATTTTTTTTTTTGGTATGACCAAGCATACATATAAGAGAGAAAGAAATAGGGAGATGATGACCGCATCCTAGTAGGTATGTACCAAATCGACAGGTGTTGTGTTTTTACCGCCCAAGTGCTCACTATTGCTATGATCGAAATAAACTGCGCCGCAATGAGATTTGAACCTGCGAATATTCACTTGATGGTTGCACTTCTTATCTGCTTTACTACTTATACGGGTTCGTTTTAAAAACATGTAGGAAAATTTTAGTGCAAATTCTTATGAATTTTCCCTTTAATCTAATATAGGGCATGGTAATCCGCTACTTTAATCTCATACATATTGACATCAATCTTTTCATTCCATTGTATGTCGATCGAAACCACTTTTGCAACAAACGCTCAGTTGACTTTTTTTTAAAGTGTTACGAGAGAACATTACATAAGTAAATTACGTGTTCATCTTAAGTTTAAGTTCCGTATTTTTTAGAATGAAGCTTAACGCCTGGATTTCTTCTCCATTCATATTAAGCAAAACTTCTCGGAACAATCCATCGGAGGGGTCAAATTACTTTTGCAATGCTGCGAAATTTTCCATTCTTAAGAAAATGTCTGGTTGACCCGGTCATAATGAAAGCAACGAGTCTCTGGAATTAAAGTATTTTAACTTATTTCGTCTTTTTATAAATTTTATTATAATTTAAGCGCAATTTCCATTGTGCACATATTAAACAATCACGTTTAAAAGTGTATTTTGCTTTGTGCACATTTTGAAGCAATTTCAAAATACAATTTGCAAGTCCATGCAAATTATCAATGCCGTTTTAGCTGCCAACTTATTGTTGCATCGTAATTGCATTGTATTTTCAATGAATGCGTTGGTAATGTAATGCTTGAGTTGACAGTAAAATGACACTTTTGAATTGTTGGACAAATCAAAGACGATATGAATGGCATTCTTAGCATTGGGATGCATAAAGTATGTGATGTGAAAAACATATTGCAATTGAGAAATTGAATAAGTCGCAACTTTGAACTTTGAATATTGCGAATACAAACAACACAAAGCCAAATTAATTACGTGTTAAGTGGAACCACTTAAGAACTAAATATTTTAACAAGTGTACATAAACATTTCTACTATAAATCTTAAACGCTTTTACTCCGACAACAGCTGATATCATTTGTATGAAATGTACATTCTTAAATCACCCTCGAACCATCCGATGTACTTACCAATCCTATCAATTTGTATAAATTTTTTCATTAGTTCAAATTTTTAGGACGGTTTACCTATATTCGCCTATCAATTTGTCGCTAACTGTTAAAAGTCTTTAGGCGAATGTAGTCTTACCTGAGGGTTGCAACAAACGCGACCCCGACTGCTAAATACATTGTAGTTATATCTATAGCGTAGGATATATAGCTAACTTTCAACCTTAACTCAGTTAACTTTGCTTTGCTTGTATTTGCTTCGACCGATCCTTACAGTGGAAGAGCCGTCTTTTCATGAAACGCTTAGAAGACTATACAATGTTCTTCGTTAGTAAAATCTTTTACTGTCGTATTCTACGAATTAATACTGCTCCTGTATATATGTGTAGGTGTGGGTATTAGATGTGGGATTAAATTCTTTCTCCTGAAATAAGTTTTCCCGCAATTTCATGTTTAGATGACTTAGATACTGCTGTTTAAGCGATGTAAGTTGCAATTGTTTACGAGCTATCGTTCAGTGTATATCAAAGTTTAAAGTATTGTTTTTTACGGCACTGAGGAAACGATTAATTTGGCTTGGAATTAGAATGCGCTAAGTTAGAAAGTGATTTGTAGCATTTCGGCAGTCAATTTTAGCGTATGGCGTGAAGTTTTACCGCACCTCGTACATGTTCCAAACTGATGACTTTCCGATTACTATTCATTCAGATCGATGCAGTCATATTTAACAGGTCCGCGGTTCATAGAACTTTAAGATGTGTGATAATGGGTCTCAACTACGAGGTTTCCATCGAGGGCATACCGCAGGTAATGATAGTGCATGTCTCGCTTATTAAGCTTTTCAACAAGTATATTTCAAATGTAGTTAAATTTTATCAAAAATCGGAACGAATTCATTTTCACACCTAATATGTGCATAGCAAGCTCGTTTATAGCCACAATTCTTGAAATTGTTTTATAGATTTCTTTCCATCCAGTCAATAAGAATACGTAATTTTCTTATATTCAACGTTTTAAAGACGTAGACTGAAAGCATTAGCTTTTTGCTTGGGAAATCATTATAATCTTTCACTCGTCTTTTATTCGAAGAAGCTTAAACAAAGAATTATCAGCTTGATGTATCCTGGTGCAAATAATAAAATGAGAAGATTTGATTTTATAGTTTAAACTTCAATTAACATAGAAACATGCACATGCACATAAATGATACGATTTAATGCGATAACAATTTATGGTTTGGTTAATGCGCTCATACTGTACGTTCTTATGACTGCAATCTATGCGAGTTCATTGAAAGAAGTAAAATTCTTAGTGATGTGGAAAAAAAACACACAAAGAGATCTAAATAACGTTAAAGTAATTTATGTCTTTATATACGTAAGATAAGGGAAAGAAAACATTCTTTGAATTTCTACACTTCCTTCCCCTTCTCTAATCATCATTAAGTGATGTTCAAAGTTTTTATTACCATTAAATATCAAAAAAAAATATATATATATGTATATATATTTTTGATTACGGATACAATTTTTCCTTTTTGCTGTGGAATGTTTATCCTTCTAAACAACAAGTACTTGAATGCTATAACACTTAAACACCACAGCATGTTAAAGAGACATTTCCGTTATCCTTTTTATATATATTTTTGTTTTAATTTTCATAGATATTATTAGTTTGACGTCATCATCATATTATACTGTTGGAAGTCAATTCTTAGTTAATGAATTCTTTTTTTTTTTTTTCGTTTTTAGCTTGATACAAAAAGCAGTCCTTTGGCCCTTTTGGCTCAAACCTGCAGTGCAATTGGTGCCGACACAACAAATCCCAAACTCTTAGCCGCCAATATTGAAAAAGCTACAAAAGCACATAAATCGTCGATGTCTCTTGATAATCGTGATAAATTATCACCGCTTAGTAATCACTCATCAGTTTCAACCGGCTCTGTCGAACAACAGCAAATCAAGTCTAGCTTTAAGCCCTACGAATCGAATAACAATCACATACGTCTGGAAATGACAACGACAGGAGCGGCATCAACAGGTGTCATTGAAGCAGAACAGGCCACTAATCTAAGTCAATCCAGCAGTAGTCATAGAGTGAAAACACCAAAAACTAGCAATAATAGTACGAATGGTGGAGGAGGCAGTTTTGCTAGTCTACATCAAAATGGTCAGACACGCTGTGATTCAAACCAAAGTGCCACGTCCCAAAGAGAATCACCGGCTATGATTAACGGCAATTTGCGTAGAACACCCTCCTCTTTGAACGGAGGTGATTTGGGTCAGCGAACGGCCACAAATAGTCCAGCTAATCAACAACGATCGACTTCCAAAGACGGTACACGCAACGGAATTGTAAATACGACAGCATCGGTCGTCGACAGTAGTATTAGTCCACAACAAGTACACAATAATTCTACACGGTTGCCCTCCACCGCAGACGCAGCAGCTTTGGCGGCAGCTTCTAAGGAAGCCAACTACGCTAAAGTCTTACATGCTGCCTCTTCAGCTAATTCGCAGGTTAATAGCAATGCTGCTTACTATCAGAGTTATGCGGCAGCGACTGGTGGCATGGCTTACCCAATGGAATTGATGGCAGCCAGTGCTTTAATGTCTCCCCACCATCCTATGTTTAAGGCGGCGGCTTTAAATCCCTACTTGAATTATGCTCGGCTAAAGGGTCTTGAGATGAGCCCGAACATATGCCGTGATCCGTATTGCACGGGATGCCCCGCTAATCCGCATTTCTTAAATAAGGCCGCCGGTCAGCCATGTCCAGCAGGTTGTCCGCAATGTGATAGAGAATCGCTAAACAAATCTGGAGTAGCTAGCAGCAGTAGTTCCAATGCCGCAGCCGCAGCTGTGGCCGCCTCGTCATATCATGCCCAGTTGGCTGCTTTGGCAGCCGCCTCGCAAATGCCTTATGTTTGCTCTTGGATAGGCGGCGATACACCTTATTGCGGTAAACGTTTCTCTACTTCCGATGAACTATTTCAACATTTACGTACGCACACCGCTTCTCTGCCTGATTCAGTGCTCAGTGCTGCGGCCGCAGGTGGTATACCACCCAATCATCCGCTCTTTTCACGTACATATCCAACGCCGCCTCTAAGTCCGTTATCGGCTGCTCGCTACCATCCCTATGGCAAACCGTCCATGTTGCCTCCATCATTGGCTCCCTCTGCCGCTTCTCTCGCCAGCTTGCAAATGCCTCCTCATCCCGCCTTGGCTCAATATTTCTCACCCTATGCTCTCTATGGACCACGCATGGGCTCTTCGCATCCGTAGTAATTAAATTAAATTAAAATAGCAAAACAAGAAAATTAAAAAAAAAAAAAAAAAAAAAGAAGATTTTATTCAATTTAAAAAAGAAGCTATTTTTCAGTCAATTTTCAAATTCAAAAACAAAACTTGTTTTCCTCCGGAAACTAAAAAGCTAGTGATGTTAAATGTAAGAAAATTTTATCCTTATAATAATAAAAAAAAAAAAACATATATTTTATTCAATCGTATTTCTTTTAAAGAAACTTTTCAAAACAATAGACGCATACACCCAGAGGCACCCTCTTAAATGTCCAAATACGAATATGTTATTATATGAATTGTAATGTGAATGTGAAGAGAAATGTTTCCAAATATTATCTTTAGAACAAAAAAAAAAAAAACGAAAAAAAAAAACTAAATAAATAAAAACTACACTACTTAGAATTTATTTACATTTAATTAAAATCTACATCTATGTATGTATGTGTATGTATTTTAAAAAATATATAAAAAATAAAAAATAAATTCAATAAATAAGTAAAAACAAATACTAAATTTAAAAACTGCAAAACTAAATCTCTAATTATTTTAATAAACGGAGCCCCTCATATACTTTGCTTTATTTATTTGCTTTAGTTTGGGAAAAGTGTGCATAAGTATGCAAATAAGGAGCCAGATTTTTTTTTATAGCAAACTAAACACATTTGTTGTATGAGACGATAAATTTGTTCGCTTGCTATTGCATTTCTTCCCACCTGTTTGGCAATTTGTGAATGCGAGGCCTTTAAAAATCTTGCTCTTTTCCACGAGTCGTCCATCATCGAGTCGTTTTTTCACATCTTCGCACGAACCAAAGCGTTGCATAACAAGTGCCACTGATAATTAGAAGTGCTGGGGCTTAGTGAGTAAGCCGCATAGACCAGTCCACCACAACTAAAGGCTCCCGCCATATCGCGAACCTACCCCGGACGGTTGGATGGCTACCATATAAAAAAGCGCCGTGAACAGCGAACGTTTCAAGGCAATTAATAGCTGCTGGGCGCGTTTGGTATTAACCGTTTTGCCAGACACAAGGTATCCTATTGCTGTTGTATGGATTCTTAAGTCTGAAATTCTCAAACCAAATCCAAAAATGTCTTCACATGATGCCGTCGGCGAATGCCTTTTTTTTGGCACATAACTTGAAATGTTCAACGCTATCACAAACGAAGTGACAGCTATGGCCGTTTTTGGGAAAATTCCGGTTTCAGTTTTACATACCTTCTACTGCTACGAACAAATATGTAGTAGCTAGTACTTAACACTACTACAACCAAAAACTTAAAATAGTCAACTGATTGTCAGGCAACAACCGCTGATCCCAAATGGCTGAATTTTTCTATGCTTGGCTGAGTATTTATCAATGCGTATATAAACCTTTTCCCCACCACTTAAAGATATGTATTACCTTCATGTTCATGTTGGAACCTCTTCCGGTAATCTAGGTACTGACAGATCATAGCGCAGTTTTGAATAATGTGGTCACACAATTTTTTATACCCACAATCAAAAGATGGGAGTATGTCGGTTTTAACAGAGATTTTCAACACTTGGACGGAAGCTTGAGAGACCTTCTATAGCATATATTGTCTTCGTCAGCATTAATTTCTGAATAGATTGAATCATGTCCGCGTGGTTGTCTATCTGCCTTTGTAATATCTGTGTCAAAAATTCCCACTAAAGGGAGATATCGACTTCAATTTTGTCATGAATGTTGAAAGTTCTTACACACTGGTTGACATTAAAAATGAGCCAAATCGATTGAAGAACACGCCCGCAGTACACCGTAAAATGAGAATAAGTCCGTTTTCAAAAGCAAAAAATGGCAATTTTTCTCTTTACTCATAAAATGAAGTAACTAAGTATTTGCACATTCTATTTTGATATGGAGATGGGGCGTATAAAACACTCGATGGCGAAATTAGTTTTATAATGCGATCGGAAAACTGAACAATTTCGGCTGGATTGTCTCTCTTACATATGATCACTTTTAGGTTATTATACGTTTTCTCTAAGAACGAACTTTCAGAAAAATATCACGAACATATATTGAAATTTGCAATAAAATGAAAACGATAAGTTAACTTCCGGTCGCAAATTGCATCAATGGAGATTTGTTGCCTCACATGTCCCAAATGTAACGAGAAAGTTAATATACCCGTGCACTCATGCGAGAACTATCAAAATGATTTATATGACGGCAAATTATGAATGGATATAAAAAACTTTTATGCAAACAATAACAGAGCAAATAATAACGAACCCATTCCCGTTTATAATAGTAAAAAAAAAAAAAAAAACAAAAAAGAACAAAAACTTGAATGCTTCCCGCACCCTGCTTTAGATGGTCGTTCACAAACGTATAACGTCAAATAACGTTGTAATGTTTATTAAAATACAAATGGTAGTAGCAGCGCATATATTGTAGGTGTGATTAAATCATTCGTATGTGCAAATGTGCGCATAACTAATGTATGAAGATATGTACTTTGCATTATGCGTTTCATATGTGCGTATGACAAAAGAAACTCGCTTTTAAACAAAGGTACAAAGTACATAATTAACATAACAAAACAATAGAGAATATAAATAAATTTTCAATGTGTCTTTCTTTACAGCCGCGTACTTATCAGCAAGCAAAAACAATGACGGCGCAAAAACAAAAGAAAATGCGCTATAGATATCAAATGCCATACAATGAAACGCGCATTCATACATATTATGCAAAGGCAAACGTAATTCTCTATAAAATGACGAGCGCGACGAAAGCATGTTTATTGCAATCAGTTACAAGCATAGTTGCTAACAGTTAACATAACTGACGAACTGACTAAGTAAATGTCAAATACTAGCTGCATATCTCTGAATAGGGAAACCACCCACCCACTGAACTTTTAAGGTAGAACGAAGCTTGCCTATCGCACAATAAACAACATAAACTTGATTAGTGTGTGTGTGTGTGTGTGTGTGTGTTGGTGTGGGAAAAGCATTTCTAAGCACAACTGATGAAAAAGGAAAACTGATAAAGAAGGAGAGTAAAAAATAGTAGTTTGTGAGAAACATTAAAATGAGAATTTTTTTTTTTAATAAATCTTTGCAAACATAACTACTGCTCGTGACACATACATCTTTGTCGTCTACATGTCTACTTTGCAGATAAATTAAAGTTTTATTTATGAAAACAGCATCAAACAGCATAATATAAACACCTCGTGCAATACGCGGCGTTGATTGATATGTTGCTCTGGTCTACATAGGAATATCACTCAAAAATTTAAACGAAAAATACGTTTGAAGAGTTGCTTCATTTGATTGTTTCATTAGCCGCAATATTAACATTAGTTGACTAAGCAAAATTTACTACTTTCCCAAAAGAATTTTTAACCATCATCTGTTTTCAAGGTTTGCGGTATTAACTGAAGATGAGCAGTTCAGTCATCTCTATAGCGAAATTCTTTCAATCGTTATGATCTTGAAATTATTGGTGGTTCATGTGATTCAAAATAAGAAAGCAGCCAAGGTAGAAGAAGCCTTATTTTATTCTAGGAGACTATGTGGGAAAGCAAACTGCCAGGAAGGCTAAAGCCGGTCCTAGATTTATCATTGAAACACATACGATTAAGCCATCCCGCCTTCTGCTTCTTGCAATGTTCACAATGCACACAATAGCGCTATTTTAATTTTTATTGGAGACGCCTCTTAGGAAGCGCCCTGGAAAAGATACGCTAACCAGTTACATATTCTAAACACTTTTGCGAATGCGTTGTAAGTTAGTTATGTAACATTCAAGCGCCAATCGGTAGACTCTTAGTGGCACAATCTACTTTCCCACAAATGCTTTAACTGACGCACTATCATTCATTGTCAATTAGTTTAACAAATAAGTTTATTCCAAGCAGAGTACTACCTTATAATGAAAGCTAGGGCATCCTGAAGTCTTCACTTACTGTATAAATTAATTTTTGATAGTATGATAAATCATTCAGAGCAAAAAGCAGACAGAGAGTGCTCGCAACTCACTGGCTCTGTGGCTAATCGATAAATGTTGTGCATTTATCGTCTGTCCATTTACTTGTAGCTACTAGCGCGCATGGTCAAACCGCGATGTGGTATGAAGCTACGAACACCGACTTTTTAAACGTAGCTCTTATCTGCTTGCCTATGCGACAGCCTACAGACCGCAGTTATGACTGGCAACGGCGATAACCAATTCACCAAGGCATGAGCCGAGAGGACCAAGAAGAGGTTAGCAAAGTTTTTGTGTTTGTCGCTAAACATGTACCATAACTTTGCTGCCCATTAAGTCTAAGGTTTCCTTCAATTAAAATTTAGAAAATCTAGATAAATGAAATATAAACCTGTTTCAATTCCAAACGAAAGCTATATGATACGTACCGACTTTAAATAAGTAAACGAAGCATCCCGACAGTAGAAAACGATGGATATTGTCATAGAGGTCTATACTGAATTTAATTAAGTCCGCTATCGGTTTTGGAAAACTTCAAAAATCTTTTGGAAATTTGTGGACGATATCTTCATTTTTGCAAGCGGGAGACCATTTACCACTGATAGTACACACGAATTAGGCGGACATGCCAAGGTGCATTACAAGTTTGAAACTGGTCAGGAGTTTATACATATGATGGGGTTTTGAAGCTTATTTCTGCGCATTATAAGGGCATTGAAAAAAACATTAGAATTCTGATACGCTATAATATTGGGTAGGCATGGTTAATTTAGTCTGCATGGTCCATAGAATCTACGCCCACTCTTTTGTACAACTACATGTTATAGTTTACGAGTGAGTAATGATCAAAAAAACATTTTTTGATTGCTTCTGAGAAACAGAGGTATCCTCAGTTTACATAGTACTGTATACATATTCTTCAACCATGTTGATCCATTTGCAAGAACTCCCAATGCTTCTACGAAATTTGAAGTCAATAGCTGCAGTTTTGCGGCCAGGAGAATGTTTACAACTGACACTATCCCAAGAGATAGATGGACATGCTTAAATCGATTCAGAATTGGATGCTTATCAAGAATATATATAATGCATGGGGTATCTGAAGCTTCCTTCTGGACGTTTGCAAACGTTTCCCCAAAATAATATACCCATCACCGAGGAATGAGGATCGAAGGATTAGTTCCATTTGTTTGCAACCATTGTATATTCATATATTTCTCGTTCGGGGAGTTGCAATAGTTTTTGAGACGAACTTATCGCACGCGCTTAAAATAAGAGATATGCAATATGTGGATTCTTTCTATTCGAATATTTCGCGAGTTCTTCCTTCAAAGTCCGTTTCTATCCATTTTTCCATGCATTTGCCCTTTGATCATTTGTATGGCATTATTTTT